TGAATCAGAGCAATAAATCTTGAATTTTTTTTGCATTTTCGAAAATATGCTTTGATGAAGAGATCGCCTGAGAATTATTTGTATTAATATAATTCCATTTCGAGTCAATTAAATAAATTTTAAATAAATTTAATTAAAATTAATTTAACTTTAAATAAATTTTTCGTTCATTGCTTATATATTTTTTCTTTTTAAAATTAATAATAGTTTATTAAATTTATAAAATAAATTTATCAAATTAAAGTAAGATAAAATGAGTACACGTTGAATAAAAGAACATCAGTCCGTTTAGATAAAAATATATTAATGCCTTTTTTAGCTCAGGATTTTCAGATTTAACCCTTTCCGTGTCAATTGCCAGGATCTCACTCACGTGCCCAGGTGCTACTTGGGTGGGAGAGAGGCGATTGGCATGATGATCCTAGTCCATAAGTTTAAAAAATTCTTTTTAGCAACTGACGATGCGTTAGTGTATCGTGCGCGATGTATTTTCCACATTGTGTGTGTGTGGCTAGGCTGTGGAATTGCGTCGTATTCCATACAGTATATTTAAAATATACTTATTAATCTCATTACAAATGAGACAATCAACGATTTATACAATATTACTATTCTTACTTTTAAACTAAACGATATCAAATTTTCTAAAGTATCGATCAATTAAATAAATAAACAATCAAATTACTAATTTTACTAATTTAATCGTTTTAAAAGACATATCTTTTCATTGACGAATATCTATAATTAAAATCTACAAACGTATTCGTATCGCGATTTACGCAATGGTCACTAGCCATCGTCAGTCGATTTCAGGAAAATGGTACGTAAAGTTAGAGTGTGAAAGAAGTATGCCAAACTCGGGTGTCGGAGGCGTCCCGGGACGCTTTCCCTAGTGTAGGCTTTTTGCGCCCGGGTGTAATGTGTGAGAACCGTGGAGAGAGCGTGTTGGTGTGCCTGTTTTGCCATTTTTTTAAATATAGGGTTAGGTAGGATAGGTAGTATGCTTCTGGTATGCTTGGTTAATTTTTTAAGTAGGTAGGGCCGGGCAGGTTGTCACAGTCTCAGATCGGGTAGGCGCGTTTTTCGCGTGGCAACCTGTTTCAGGAAATATAATTTGAAGAGTCGACGCGGTGAGGCTGTGGCGCTAGTGGAGAGTTCACTTGTTCCTGCCTTTTTGCCCGTCGAGTCTTCGAATTTCTCGTGGTCGTGGTTCGCGAATTTGTTACGAAACGAACGTTAAGCTCGAGATTACGTGCGGGTGTGCGGGCAACTATCGTTGATTGTACACATGCATTTAGCATCTGTGATTTGATAGTCTTTTTTTTTTCCCTTTTTTTTTTTTTGATCTAGGAATCGGCAAAAATCTCGAGCCTAGTTTTAAGTTTCAGCGGGCATTGTGCCCGAAGGAGGAAGACCGAAGAGGCCCGACAAACTGTCGCGAAGAGGGCTGCAACGAATGGCTTCTCATCTTTTGGATCTTGTTGTTCGGGTCCAAAGAATGGGAAGTCATTGTTACTATATTGTCACTGTGTCTCGTTTTAGTAATACCGTAGTATTTGTCATTGTGTTGTCCGGCCGATTGCATGCCGGCCCAACGGATCCAGTCTTCATGGGCATCGCGATTTTTTATTAGAGTTGCGATTGATTAAACACGGGTTGAATTTAGTAGTGTTGCGTCAAAAAGAGAGAATCGTGTTTGCATTAGTGTTGCGAAAAATTAATTACGGGTTGCATTAGTGTTGCGAAATATTAATCACGGGTTGAATTAGTGTTGCGTTAAAATAAAAAAAATCGCGTTTGTATTTATTGAATTAGTGATTACGAATTATAAGATTCGCGTTTATATTCGCGTTTTTTATTAAATATAAATTGTTATAATTTCTTTTGTTTGTTTGTATTATTTTTCAATTAGCGTTGCGTTTGAAAATAATCGCGTTTGTTAAAGTAGTGTTGCGTTAAAAAAATAATCGCGTTTGCTAAAGTAGCGTTGCGAATATATTGAATGCCCAACCTTCCACGAGGATTGTGGAAACTTCTGAATCACCTGGTGTGGCTAAAAATGCTACATGGGTGACTGTACACCGACAGCAGTCATTAAGAAGAGACTGCATTGGATATCTCGTTATTAGTGTTGCGTGTATTAAAATTTGAGTGCATAGAGTAATAATAGTATTTATTAGTGTTGCGTATATAATATGCTTCCGCGAATTTTTTAATTTTTTTTTTTATTTTTTTTTGTCACTTATAATTTAACTAATATTGCAAATATGTTAAAGCACTCATCGCGATTGATCTTGCAAATTTTTTATTTCTATATAAATATGGTAGTTTATTAGTGTTGCGTAAAAGATTGATATTCCACTCACGGTTTGCTCGGGTTCATTGAGTGGAAAATATTTGTTTTTTAGTGGCCCTTCTGGCTACTATTTAGGCATTTCTTTTTCAGCGTCCCTCAGTTCATTACATTTGTTATAGAAAATACTGTTTTATTTCTTTTTATTAGTAACAATCAGATCTTTTAAAATGCAAAAAATTGATCATTTTAACAAGAAAATTTTATAAATGTTCAAATTTGATTTGTAATTATAATTCATTCGTTATTATTCATTTTTAATAAAAATTTTACTTTCTCGTAAAATTTTTGTTAAAAATATATAATTTTGTTAAAATTAAGAAAATAAATCGATTAAGAAAATAAATAAATATAATTTCATCTTGGTATTCAAATTCTTTTTTTCAAAATTCAAAATTGATTTACAAAATATGAATAAATTTTTTTTTTAATTCTGGCAATAATAATTTAATTCCATTAAATAAGTAAAATTTTTGTTAAATGCAAAATTTTGTTAATGCATATACTTTACTATAATAAAATATTTTTCTTTCAGCTTTTTTTTTTTTTTACTAATCAAATAAGTAAGTTTGTTTCAGATAAATTAATTTAGGAGCAATGAGTACATCTCAAGTATACCAAAGATTTAATAAAAATATATGAAGTAAATATATGAAAAAGACCAAGGAAATGGTATTTGAATCCATCTATAATTGAGAAATAATAATTACAAAATTTTATTAATATTTCTATAGTTTAATTTGTTTTAGGAACAATCGTGGAACCAATTGGAAATTAAACATCGGTAGAAGAAGATTCATATTTTGTATTTTTTTATTAAATATTTATATTTATTTCCTTTTCCCTTTCCTTTTTTTTGATTATATTCAAATTTTTTCAATAGGTAGGCTTCAGATCTTTAAATTTTTAAGTAGGGAACACAATTTTGTTTCTAGGTTCATTATGTAATTCATCGATATATTTTAGATAGGGTAATAATATCCCTTTCCCTTTCCTTGATTATATTGAGATCTTTGTATAGATAAGATTCTCATATAGATCTTTAATTTTTTCTATAATAGATCCATACTATCATTAACTTTTCATTAGATAGGAATTAAGATAAAATTTACTTTCTATGTAGATAGGGATAATATTTGTATCACCAATTAATAATAAATATTTCATTGAATCTTGATTAATTTTTTTCTAGTTTATTTGTTTCAGAAAGCATGGAGGAATCAATGTGGAAATATCAAGAAGAAGAAGGCTTCACATAATATCCTTTTCCTTCCCTTTTCTTTTCCTTTTCCTTTGCTTGAAATCTATATTGAGGTTTTTTATATAAGTAGGCTTTCTACAAAAATCTTAATATTTTTATATAGACTAGTAGTACCTCTTAAATTTCTATTAGATAGGGAAGTGTATCCTATGCTCCTATTTTTCTAAATATTAAACATTTTTAGATATATATTTAGGTAGGCTTTAGATTCTTAGATCAGGCAGGTTATATTAAATATATAGTTATAAGGTAGTTTCAAATTTTATAGAAACTTCTCTCTTAGTTCCCCAAATATTAAACATTTTTAAATATATATTTAGGTAGGCTAGATTCTTAGATCAGGCAGGCTAAGTTCAAGTTATAAGTTGGATAGTTTTAAATTTAATTAAATTTAAGAATTGGTAAGATTATTCTTAAGTAAAAATTTTAGGACGTAAGTAGCTTTAAGTAATTGTTTTTTCTTTTTTCGATTATTTCTGGTTAAAGTAAAATATATTATTAAATGCATGCACAATTAATAGTAGTAATAGTAATTGTGATGGTGTTGGTATTTAAATCGTTAAATATGTATAACTATATGTGAGACATATTTCACTTTTTTTTTTTTGTTTGTTTTATATTTTGTACTTGAATCAATATTTTACATCTTCACGTGGCAGTAAAGATATAAAATATTGATACATGTACAAATTAATTTGTGATATGTTTTATATAGAGTTTATACAATTGGATCAAAATATAATTTGTCTTTATTTTCAGATTTAGTTTGTCGCGTCGGTTTTTCTTCAGAATTCTTTTGCTGTCCGTTTTGCACAACGATCACAGATTGAACGCTTTGCAAGCATACATCAAAAGAAAGAATTGTTATTAATGTTAAATAAATTTTTAAAATACGTTAAAGGAGGGTGGATGGGATCGTGGATAGGGTGGGTCTCTTTTCGCAGCCTCCCTCCACGCGGTGAGACCTGGGCAATCATCATTATTTGTATATCTAATTTATAATCGTATTACTGATAGATTCTGTAATTCAATTATAAATTATATAATAAATAATATGAGCTAATTGGCTGCAATGTTATTGTTCTAATATCCAAATGTTATTTGTACAAATAAATAAATAAATATCTATTCATAGAAATATTTATTACTTGTTGACTTTTCTAGTATAAATTACAATATTCTATATTTAGTATTAAACTATTTATTTTAAATTTATCGTAAAAGGTAAATTTTATTAGTAGAACTCTTCTATATCATACGTAGTATGTACAGATTTTTCTTCAAGTCGGTAAATTTGCTTCTTTATCGACGTGGAATTTAATTCGTACTCGTATTCACAGAGGGCTCTGTAGTACGAGAATAAGCATTTCTCCTCGTCTCGTGTAATAAGTTTAAATTCTTTTATTTTGATAATTATAATTTCACTTACGCGAATAATCGTATTCGTTATTCTGTAACGTTCTTATTTTTCAATTACAATTTCATTACAGGATTTATACGAATACAATTATTCTTTACGAATATATTTCCTTAAATAATCTTTTTTTCCTTTCATTCCGAATAAAAAAAGTTCATCGATGAGCTCTTTCGATCGAAAGGATCGAAAGTGAAAAGAGAATATTTAAGAGAGGAATCGCATCCACGTTCGATTGAGTTTTATACATGAAAGAAGATACATCGTATCGCTTATTTTCCAGTGTAATAATTCGTCTTGACAAAGGGCATTTTTGTGACTTTCGCTTTGTAAGTTTTTCCTCGGACCTCGACCAAAACCCCTTTACCGTATTCGGCCAATTCTGGTGGTACGTATCCCATAGCGATGTAACTTCCGAGAGTTGGACTAGGTCCACCGGAAGTGATGTTGCCAACGCGTTCTCCTTCCGGCGTTAATATACACGCTCCCGCTCTAACTGGTGGCCCATTCACAACCGTTATCCCTACCCGCCTCTTCTTAGTCCCTGACTCGATCTGTAGAAGTATCTTCGCCGCGCCTGGAAAATTTGCTTCCGCTTTTCTTCGTTTAGCTGTAGCGAGGAACGAAGAATGAAACGAGATTATCTCGAGAAGAGCTCGATCGAACGTTAATTATCGAATTACAAATAATTTTTTACATCTCACTGACCTATTAGCCAACCAAGCCCAGCTTCGATCGGTGTTATTTTCTCGTTGATATCTTGCCCGTAGAGGCAAAGACCGGCTTCCAGCCTACGATTCAATACACAGGTAAATATTAACTAATACAAAGGGATAAAAAAAACCGACTGACCTAACTCACCTTAAACTATCTCTAGCTCCCAGACCGGCTAGTTTCGTGTCAGGCGTGTTTAAAATCATTTTTACCAAGGTATGCGCTATTTGAACCGGTATCGAGATCTCGAACCCATCCTCCCCCGTGTACCCGCAACGTGTTATCCTTATCCGACTTCCCAACACCTCGGTTTCCACGCTGTTCATGAATCTTAGATTCTTCAAATCGACGTCAACGATGGATCGAAGAACGGACGCAGCTGTGGGCCCCTGTAACGCCACGAGACTCTGCTTCAACGGATCTAAAAATTCCAAGCTCACCGATTTCCCTTGGGTGAGAAATATCTCCTGAGAAAAAAACAGAAGAACAAAAGAATCAAGATTAACGATAAGATATTCTTTTTTTTTTTTTTTTTTTTTTTTCCTTCTCCAATCGACAATCAAGAATACAAATCTCGCTTTATCATCTACCTGTTGTTGAAGAAGCAATCGAGAATCTTCCTTTCTTCTTCCGGCGTTTGACACGAGAAAATATTTATCCTCGTCGTCTTTCGTAACGATCAAATCGTCCAGGATACCACCGTTCTCGTCCGTGAACACGGTGAGTACGGCGCACCCGTTGCCCAAATTTTTCAAATCGCTTGTGGTGAGAGATTCCAAAAATTGGGTGGCGTCTCTCCCGGAGACTCTGGTTTGCAACATGTGACCGACGTCGAACAACGAAGCGAACCTTCTCGTGTGCAGATGAGACGTGGCTATCGCCTCTTGATACTGGACCGGTAACAACCAGCCGGAAAAGTTGGTTATTTTACCTGGATGGATGGATGATTATCGGATGGATTAACCGCGCGATCGATCCGTGGTGAACAAAACCACGGCGGGGGAAATATTCCGTTTTTTTAAAATGGAACACTCACCTCGATTTTCCACGTGAAGGTCGTAGAGGCACGTTTTCCTTGGCGTCGTGGTTGGCACGGTTGTCGTCGTCGTCGTCGACGTCGTTGACAAGGCGCGGCGGCGGCGGCCTTCAGTGTCGTTCGACCGCGTTCCGGGATCGATCAAACATCTTAAACGCGGCTCGTGCGCCCCACGCCTCGAGCTCGCGTTAAGAATCGTGGCCGAGGCGGATAACTCGCGTTTCTGCACCGATTTATCCACGCATTTTTCCAAGTTTTCCGAGCACACCGTTCTTGCACGGACGGCGAGGCGAAGCATCGTCTTTTCCCCGTACCGATTCGTCGTTGACTGGCTGAGGCCGGCAGCGGTATACGGCACCGGCGGCCGACTGCTCTTCAACGATGACCTCGGTGACACGAGGCATATTTCAGACTCGGATTTAGCATAAAAAAATCGGCCGATGCCTTTTGCATGACGTAAACGCGATTTCTTTTTTTTTATTTTCGATTAGCTTTCATCGTGTCGGTGTGCACGGGTTATTATTGTTACTATTCGTAGATAAAGTAAGGAACAGTTAGTGTTGGTTGGTGTTGTTGTTGTTGTTGTTGTTTCGAAGATAAAAAGGAAGGTGTATGAAATCGAGGTATGAAATCGAGGTTAATATTCTTCGAATCGGCGATCGATCGATTCCCCTCTTCTCCTTTTATAAATTTTCAATTTTCAATTCGTTCGTTATATCGTTACACGCGTCACGTGCGCGCTATTTGCACGAGAAAGAAGAACTCGAACACGTTGTTTAATTACGATTTTACGATATTTTTTCGTAATTGAAATTGTTTACCGTGCATGCGTTCTTACTCTACGCGACTCGATACGCGAATGTATATATATATATATTTAAATGTTGTGTAGATAGATACACATGTGAATGATGAAACGGTACGCGATGACGATAAAAAGGAATCTTCGAGATAAATTATTTTCTTGCACGATACGGAGCCGAGAATATTATTATTACAGATATGGTTATTTTCGCGCGTAAGAGAGGTCAGCATGCTGTTAAAGTCGGAAGAGATAAGACAAGGAAAAAGAAAAAAAAAAAAAAGAAACGAAAAAAGAAGAAAAAAAAATCGTGTCGTATAATCATGTAATTTATAATATCTTGGCACAGCGTGTACTGTGTAAGGAAGGAGAGAGAATTGTGATACGTAGTTATAGTCACGAGACTCGTGCACATCGGATGCTTATTAAATTTTTATTGTACCACGTAATAATAATAATCATCATCATCATCGTAATAATCATTAATAATAATAATAATTTTAATAATAATAATAATAATAATAATAATAATAATAATTTTAATAATGACAATAGTAATAATCGCAATAATCATCATCGCAATAATAAATCGTGATAATAATGTCAATAATAAATGTTAATAATTAATAATAATAAAATTAATAATAATAATAATAATAATAAATCATTCGTCACAATAATAATAATAATAATAATAATAATAATAGCAATAGTTTCGTAATAATAATGACAATTCATCGTCGTCGGTAATAATCCAATGACAAATGTCAATAGTCATATAGTAGCGTGTCGAACGGAGAAACGACCTTAAAAAACGAAGACAGTATCAATTGTTCGTTCGTACATTTTGTTTTTTTTTTTTTTTTCTTTTTATCCTTTTTTAGCTTCCGTCGTCTTATTCTTCTCGCTCGCGCTTTTTTCTTTTTTTTTTTTTTCTTTTGTCTCTCTTCTTACCTCTCGCTCTCGCTCTTCCACACGCGCATTCTCTCTCTCGACGTTTTTTTTTTTTTTAAATGTTTTCTTTCTCTCACACACACGCACACTTTCTCCCTCTGTCTCGTGTTTACACAATTGATGCAAAATGTCCCTACACAGTCCGACGAATGTGTGTGTGTGTACGTTTTTCCGATCGATCGATTTTTTTCTTCCTCCGGGTCGTAGTGTGTTTGCTCGACGCTTTCCCTATTGGATTTTTTCTTTTTCTTTTTCATTTTTTTTTTTTTTTTTTTTTTTCCCCAACTTTTGCACTTTTTTCCGCCGTTTTATGTATCCTCTTTGAAATCCGCTTTATTTCCCTTGTAGCACGTGTTGACACATTCACTCACATTGGTTAATCGGTTTCCTAGTGGAGGGACTAAGGTGGTGGCTGTGGGTTGGAAACGTGAGGGGGTGTGCAGTTGGTGGAAGAGGATACAGGTTCCAAGGAGTGGGGTGGGGAGGGGAAAGTATGGCTCTAGGTATGGAGACGTGCTGGAGAGGATTTGGGAGGAGGGGGGGAGGGGAGGGGAGGGGAGGGGGGATTTGCGTGTAAGGTGTCGCGAATTAATCAATTAGGAACGCTATCACGAGGAAAATGGATATGCTGCGGTGAAAACAGAAGGCTCTATTAATTATAAATTCGGCCCCACCGGTCAACGGATCCGCTCGTTTCCTTCCCTTTTTTTTTTCTTTTGCTCTTTTTTTCCCACAATTTTCCCGCAATTCGAATTGCTCTATTACGTCTATTGTAATTTTGTTAGAAAAAAAAAAAAAAAAAAAAAAAAAAAA